ACCGGACCCGAAACGTTAACTCGGTTTTCTCCTTCACAGATGCTGCCAGACCTGCTGAGCTTCTCCAGCAACTTTGTTTCTGTTCCTGATTTACACCATCTGCAGTTCTTTCGGTTTATAAAAACAGTGTGAAAATCCGAGCAGACCTGCTGAGCTTTTCCAGCAACTTTGTGTTTTTACCTGACCTCCACCTGGGCCTGTCTGAGGCACTGAAATTGCTTGACATGTACCTGGATGCTTCTTTTCCAGTTTGGGTGATTTTCAATACATCCTTCAGCCTCCTCAGTCCTTTGGAGGAGGTAGGTCCAGGTTTTCGCTGCTCTTTGAGTCAAGAGTTGTTTCTTAAGACTAATCCTAGCCTAGCTTTACATATTCCTCACTATCCTGTTCCTGGTGTTACTTCTGGGCAAATGCAAATCTTATATCAGTGATATGTCTAGACCAATCATTGCCTGTGTGAATCTCTTCCTCAGGAAGCATTTTAATGCAACATTCAAATATCATAAAATATATCATTGAATCGCTACAGTGTTGAAGCAGGCCATTCGGCCCATCAAGTCCACACTGCCCCTCCAAAGAGCATCCCTCCCAGACCCACCCCCATCCCTGTAACACTGCATTTCTCAAGGCCAATCCACCTAGCCTGCACCTCTTTGGACTGTGGGAGGAAACTGGAGCACCTAGAGGAAGCCCACGCAGACATGGGGAGAATATGCAAACTCCACACAGACAGTTGCCAGAGGGTGGAATCGAACCTGGGTCCCCGGTGCCGTGAGACAGCAGTGTTAACCACTGAGCCACAGTGCTGCACATAGAATGGGCTTTGAAAGTTTAATCTTAACTTTCCGAAAAATTAAATGTGAAGGTGCATCTTTAGATTTCCAGTTTGGGCATTTGAAAATGTAAATGCTTGAAATAACAGCAGACTTTTTAACTAGTTTCATTCATTCAGAAGATATGAATGTCACTGGCTCGCCAGTATTCATTGTCTGTGAGCAAGTGGAGGTGAGCTGTCTTCTTGAATCCTGCAGTCCATGTGGTGTAGGTACACCCAGATTGCTGATGAGAAGGGAGATGCAGGATTTGACCTGGCTACAGCGAGGATGTGTGATTAGAGTTCCAAGTCCGGTTCTGTGTGGCTTGGAGGGGTGACTGTAGCTCATGGTGTTCCCATGAATCTGCTGCTCTTGTCCTGCTAGGAGGTAGAGATCGTGGGTTTGGAAGGTGGTTTTGAAGAAATATTCACAGTTTCCAGTGTTTTCCAAATGTTTTTTTTATTTCTGTAAAGTTGTATGTAGCGGAAAATCCCTAATTCAAATCCAACCTCTTAATATTGTTTATATTTTGTATTGTCAAGTCTGAATCAAAGTTTGCTAAAAATGCAGTAGATTTATTGGTCGTATTTTTTTCCTTTTCCTGACTGATCTTTGACCCATTCATCAATTCCTTTGATGGCAAGGCAAGAGTTCAATTTCAACTTCCTTCCTTTGTTTACCATTTGTTTGGCCTTTTGTGTTGAACAGCCAAGACTTGGATCAAAATCCTTCGCTAAACTTGTGTGTAGAGGCTATAATGGGTTTTGCTTTGTCGTCTGAAGTTATTTGAGATATAGTAGGTATGATATATATTACACAGGGGAGCTCTGGAAGATCAAAATCTGCTGTACAGATGCAAGACGTGTTTGGGGGAGGGTGGATAAGAAGCAGAATCTGATAGTTATCCCATATTTGTTTTTTTGGAAAGCTGCCAAAGTTTGGGATTGAGAGAGTTTCCTTTTAGAATGTCTCGGAGTCAGAGTGTGGTAGTAATTGATAAACAGTTAGTTTGAGGCCACAAGACTCAACCCAAATACGCGTTAGTATGCATGTTTCTTTTGCTGCTCTCATTTAGCTGAGTTGTCATTGCAATTATTTTCTGGCCTAGCAAATGTGGTTATACTTCCCACTCCCCTACCCCCTCCTTGGTTCTGAAGCTTGTTTCGACTTTGTGTGGTTTCAAACATCTGGATACCATCAATCATCTTGAGGGAGTGTTGATGACAGCAGCTCCAGCACCAAGGCCGGTATAAGGAAGGGGACCGTGCAGAAGAGAAAAAGAATGGCTTCTAGGAGCCTCGGGCTAGTGAAGTCTCATTTTAAATGGGCTTCCTAAAAATAATTAAGAGCAGACTTGAGCCCACTGGGTGACTGACATGGGTCAAAATAACAGAAGTTGAAATTCAGTGAACTGTGAATCTGTGTATGATCCAAGCATAGATTTCTGTGTATTAACTGCATCATTTTCCTTTTCCACTATTTTCCCTCCCTACCACTCTCTCCCACTTGCCCCTTTCCCTTACTTCCTTTATTGAGATTATTTAAAGCGTTATTTCAGCAACCAGAAACATGAAGCAGACTTCTTGTTAGCATTCAGCATGCTGTACATGGTCTATTTAATTTCACCTAAAAGAGACCACATGTGTTTAGTTCTTAAGGGACCACATTAAGAAAACGTCCCAAAATATTTGCCTGAACTGTACAGAATGGTCAGTTTGAAAAATATATATTAATGTCTGTCAGAAGAAATGAGATGGTTTTATGCTCTAGATTGTGCAAGCAAATGGGAAGCTCTTAGTTTAAGCTGACTGTATTCATTCAGTTAATTTTTCATTCAAGATTTTAAGTTTCTGTAGCACTTGTTAAAATTGATAACATCTTAGCAATGGCACCTAATGCAGTCCTGTATTGATTTGCGATGTTATAAGAAGTATACACCTTTTTATTTGAAAATGGCTGAAAACCAAAAATGGCATTTGAACCCTCTCCCCAAAATGATGAGCCAGAGATTCCTTCACTGGGGGAGATGCTGGCCTACGTTACATTTTCTCCATTGATAAAATTCTACTCCTGTTCCAATAAAGAAGCACTTATGATCTCTATGATATAAATTCCAAAATTGTGTGTTGCAGGGACATTGCTGGTTTGGTTGTTGTAAGAGTTAGATATAAATGTGCTGCTGGATTTAATTTACAATCTGTATTGTTTTTTTTCTTTCTTTATTTTCCTGTTTCCTCCCCTTTTGGAACAGCACCACTTTCAACCCCAACAGCTGTCACATCATGCATCTCCCTTCCCACTTGCCCTCCACCCATCAGGCCTGCAACTTCCTGCCATGTCATCCATTGGTGCCAGCTCGGGTCTTCTGGCGCTGTCCAACGCACTTGCAGCTCATCCCCCGTTTGCGCTGAAAGAAGACAAGAATCATCAAGATCCGGAGCATCGACGAGGTAAACTTATTTACCTGCTGTTTAGGTGCTGAGAGCATTAAAAAATTATCCTGTTAGTTAACAGCTTTGTGATGTGTGGAGTCTTTCCTTGCTTCTTGTTGTACTGTTAGCTCCTGTAATCAACGTATAATACGCCTCCCTTGTCTTTGAGAGAGTTCACCTTTCAACAGCTGCGTGTGCTGTGTGTATACAATGTGCAGCTCTGCCTAGCATTAGTTTGCTTTGTGTTTGTGAGCTGCATGCGCACAAATCTGTCTGTTTGCAATGATGTCTGTTTCATAAGTTGTAATGTGCTTTACTGTTTCAAATAAACTGACCCACTGAGTTAATCAATCCCCTGAAGATCAACTGTTTTATTAGGCCATTATTATTAACGTGACCAAGAATATCACAGAATTTCCTCATGTTCTTTCAGTCATTCCTACAATTTCACTGGAAATCAGTTGTATGATCCTGTGTCAAAGATACTGCAGGCAATTGGGAGGAAAAACCTGAGAAAATTCCAAATGTGAGGCTTCTTGGGAGTTATTGGTAAATTCAGGCTCCCACAGTCTCTGAGAGTTTAAGCTGGGAATAGGTGATTAATATTTGCAGAAGACAGCTCCCATAACACTGCCCCTCCTGCTACAAGTAGATACAAGTTCCACAGAGTGAGTTCTTGGGGCATGTTTTTGCATGCACCTCATTCGAGTTGGGACCTTAAATGCCTGTATCCTTTTACCTAACAAACATTCCTTTGGAAAAGAGCCTATTTCAGGATACTTTGACAATAGAAAGATGAGAAGTCGCACTTTTCAGAAACCAGAGCAAGGAAAACAAGGTCCATCGAATTGCAGTTTTTAAATAGCGTCGAGGAGGAGAGAGCAATCTTGGCCTGTGAATCATTAGACCGCAAGAGTTGGCCTTGCAAATGGGTCAGGCTACAGGCACACAATACAAACAAGAAAATCAAGTTAAGTCCATGTAAGACCCATGGCTATGGTGGCAGCTGTTTGGACCACAATATATAACAAAAATTTAAAAGCAGTTGACAAAGGCAGATTAAATCATCAAAGATGTTACTGGGGATGAAAAAAATGCAGTTATGATGAGAAACTTGAGAATTTGGGACTTTTTCTTAACTACGCCTGTGGTTAATGAGTAACCTAGAGGAGACATCAAATCGCCAGAAAGACTCTGATGGAGTAAAGCAGTGCTCAATTTTCTTCTCTTCCTTTTCCAGTATTCAGGAGAGAGCGCAAGTTTAAGACTTTTGCATGACCTTAAATTGGAAATTCTTGACTTGGAACAGTGGTTAGAATGTTGAATCCCATGCAGTAATTTTAAAATTTCATTCTTGGAATGTATTTGGTTTTCTAGGCCATTTCAGAGGGCATGTAAGTGTCAACTACATTGCTATAGGTCTGGAGTCACATGTAGGCCAGACTGTGTAAGGAAGGCAGATTTTTTTCTATTGAAGGGTGTAAGTGTACCAGATGGGGTTTTTATGATGATCAACATTTTCATACTCTTCATTAATAAAGTTTATTGATTTATATTTATTTATTAGTTAATTTTTATATTCTGCCATAGGATTTGAATCCATGACTTCTAAGCATCAGCGCAGGTGTTTGGATTACTAGTCCAGTGACAATGAATTGGGCAATTGAAAAAGAAAGAGTATTAGAAGGGTTGGGGAACGAGGAAAAGAGTTGACTTCTTTACAGGTTATGTAAAGGAAAAGATTTAATGGTCTGAATGTCTTGTTTCTGCACTGTTTGGTTTAAGGGGAAGGACTGGACCAGCTTTGGTGAGAGAGAGTTGCATCATTAGAAAATAGAAAAACTCCACGAGATATTATTCACACATCTCCTGTTGAACACAACTGTATTGTTGGTAATCAATTGCAGGTGGTTTCTTCTTTTTTAGAAAGGAAAGTTTTTAAATGTTTTTACAAGTTTTGAGAAAAGACCACCTTCTTGCAACTTGAAAGAGTGAAAGCAAACCAAACTACAGTTCAGAGCAGGGAATTTTTGGATTGCAAAAAAAAACGTAGAGTAAACCCTGAACATGAATTTGAAGAAAAAGATCCAGTTCAATGGATGTTATGCAAGTTGAGGAAGAATGTCTTTTGCTGACAGTGTGCTTCAAGGTTTAGAATAAGGTTTAGAATCCTTGATTAAGGATGCTCCTGGACAGTGAGTAGGTGTGGGTATCTGTACAGGAGCCAACTGTTCAGGGCTTTGGATGTGTGCATTGACTAGTTTTGTAATTGGATGGTTGGCTCAGAGATTTTGTGTGCTGCCTTCACAAGATACATTAATACCTCAAGAATGTTTATATAATGAAAAAAAATCAGCTGGATGTTGCATTGGGAAATGGCATACGAGATAGGTTGACCTTTTGAAGCGCTGAATTGGACTTGTTCAGTGTTTGACATTTCTTCTGTTGTAGCTGTGAAGCAAAGTGAATGGATTGTGTTTTATATGACACTTGCTGAAGGGCAAATGACTAACTTGGTTTTTGTTTCTCTTGTTTCTTATGGTCTGGTGTACTTCCAATGGAGTCAGACAGAGACCAAGGCTCAGTAAGTAGTGACATTTCATTGCTATCCATTTAATAAAGGAAACATGGGAGGTCAAACAAGGCAATTGCTCACAGCAATGCATAGTACAGGAGTGGGTGACTCCACTTGTTAAGTTGGAACAATACCAAAGTATACTGCTTTTTTCTTCCAAAATAAAACACTTGGTGTATCTTGTACATGTATGTATGTGAAAAATGTGGGAAACAATATCAAAATTACTTTCAAATGTCATCATTTGGAGGGCGATATGTGCTTTGAGTTTGGCAAATGGAATAAAGACCTACGAGAACTGACTTCACTGTTTGGCTTGTACTTTGCAACTCCTGTTTACGAATAAGATAGTATTTTGGCATTTGCTTTATGCTCATGATTAATACCACTTCTCAATAAATGCGGCACATATTATAAAGTTTAATACATATCATTTTCTGTATCATCTAATCTGAAGGCCTGAAGCCAGTTTTAAAATTTCACTGTTATTCCCCTGGATATGAGGCTAATTGAAAGATTCCAAGACAATGGGCCATCTCAGAAAGGCACAACAGAATGGGTTATCTTGACACTGTAAAATGTGTTTGAACATGTGGGAGGATTTACTTAGTAAATTGAGCTACAGTTCTTAGAAACGGCCCTTTTCAAAACCAAAGGGACACAAAAACAGCAAATGGAAAAAATGTAGACAAAATTGAGACCAAATTGCTTGTCTTTTTTAAGGGCCAGTTTTCCTGGACTCTGGAACATTGAGAAAAGTGCAGGTGAAAAGCTCTATTCCAAATGTTACTGTGCTGACTGCATTCAGTAACGTGAAAGCGGGTAACTTACGAAATCCTGTCAGTCAAGTTAAGTTGAGCAAACTCATCTGACAAAGTTGAGGTTGATAAAAAGCCACATGTACATTATCTCTTTCATCCCCAAGAGCAGTTCCGTGCTTGAATGGAAATGTAAGAGCTGGTGTTATCAGCTCTTCACCTGTATATTTTCAACATTGAATCCTTCAATACAGTTAGCCTCCACTCCGTTTTGGATAGGTCTCACTATCCAACTTGCTTCTCCACTGTACACTGCCTGGGAAAATGAGGCAAGACTGTTACTGACAAACGTACAACATTTAGTCTGCAGATCAGCTCTGCGAGGCATTAGTCAGGAGGGATTTGAAGCCAACTCACTAACCAGCTCATCAGAAACTGAGTGGATTGGGTTCAATGCTGATTTTGTCCTCCTCCATACTTTGTTCTGTGTTAAATTCAGTGGAGTGTAATATTAGACAGAAGCCACTGTTCTGTCAGGTACTATTGATTTCCTACCTGGTGGCATAGCTTAGATTTACTGCTGTTTATGCTGTTCCTACACCACCACCTCACGTGCCTGACCCATGGAGATCCTAATGAGTAGGTTAAGGGCCACATTCATTGCACCATTGAATTTTAATGTTGCAGAAATTGATTCCTGAATCTTGGTCACTTTGTGGACTAAATGCTGCACCCCAGCAGGGATACATAGAAGGGAATGAGGCTTAAATATGCAAAGTGTATTTGTGTATTCTCCAACTTGTTGTGATTGAATTCGGAAGACCTGAGCTTGTATAACATTCTGGAATTACCGTAGATGTGACCTTCCTTCGCAATGGATGAGTAAGAGGAATAAAACTCTGTGAGAGTGGGCATTGAGTATAAAAGCGGGGAAGTGGTGCCGTACCTATAGCTGTGGTTTTCAAGTGGATTATATCCGGTTTTAGTAACCACACTCCTTGAGGATGTGAGGGTCCTCATGTGGGTGCCACGGAAACTTGCCAGAATGGTTTCCAGGGTTGAGGGGCTTTGGTTACAACGTTGGGCAAGAGAAACTGGGGTTGTTCTTTTTTTGCAGTGGAGATTGAGGAGTGATCTGATTGAGGTGTGCAAGGTAATGTCACCTTTTGGGTATGTTGGACGAGGAAATGCTGTTCCCGTTAGCTGATGGCATAAAGATTAAGGGCCACACACTTAAAAGATTTGGGAAAGAGATGCAGGGGGATGTGAGGAAGAACTTTATTTACGCGGCAAGTGGTAAAAACTTGGAACTCCGTGCCCACGAGGGTGGTGGAAGTGGAGATGCTGACTGATTCCAAAAGGAAAGTAGATGGCCACTTGATTGAAATGAACTTGGAGGGAAGTAGGACTGATTGGATTGCTCCACAGACAGCTGGTATAGACTTGATGGGCTGAATGTCAACCTGCAGTGCTGTAATTGACACTCTGCAATTTAAGTGTGAGGTGGGCAAAAAGGCTGCAATGAAATACAAGCCAGCTAAGTGAATGGGTAACAAAGTGTTGGATGGTATATAACATGGGGGAGTGAGATAGGAATGTTTTTAAAATGATGTGATACTGTTCCATCTTGTGGGGCAGTGAGATTTGGGTAGACTGATACAAAGAGCAGAAGGTTGGCACACAAGTACTACAAACAATTAGGAGGTCAAAGAGCATGTTGCCAATATTGCAAGAGCATTGGGGTGCAAGAATAAGGAAGTTGAGGCTTCAGTGAGGACACAACTGAAGGATTGTACTCTGTTTTAGCCTCCATACTTCTGGAAGGATATACTTACATTAGAGACATTACAATCAAGGTTTGCTGGGTTGGTTTCTGGGATCAAGTGGTTTCTCTGATGGAAAGTTGAGTAAATTGGGTTTTTACTCTGCAATTTAGCAGAAGGAGAGATAATCTCATTGAAACATTCAAAGATAGACGCTGGGAGATTGTGTTTCCTGCAGCTATAGGGTCAACGTCACGATAATGGGGTGACCACTTTGCACTAATGAGAAATTTTTCCACCCCTGCCCAAATGGCTGGGAATAATGTTTGGAAGTGTCTGTGCTAGAGGGCTGTGGACGCTCCATCATTGAGTTTATTCAAGACAGAGATCTAGGTTAGGATCTTTCAGGTAATTGAAGGAAAGAAGGGATGTGCTGGAAAGTGGGGCTATGATATTACGATTTAAAAATAAAGGCAAATATTGCAGTGTCCTGCAAAAACAAAGGTTCACATTTATATTCTTAAAGTGGGGGAAATGTAAACTTTCCATGAAGTAGGATTATTCTTCATTTTTTTTTCTGTTCATGAAATCTTCAGCCCTTGTGATTCTTCATATTTTAAATGTATTTCTTGATGAGGTCAACATTGGCCCTTCATACTCAAGAGATCATTGGGACAATGAATATTTGGTAGAAAATGGCTCCCTGTACTCACGGCATCTTTTTGAAATTTGTGACCATTTGCAATCAAGGGTGAGGGGATAGCTGAACAAGAGTCTCTTGGCATAGTTTATGAGCATTGCATTCCCTTGCAAAACCACAACTGAACAATATTCCCAGAACCGCTTCCATTATTTATGAAGAATCCTATGAGCAATGGGAATGGAATTCACGTTGTAGGCACCGAGCCACTGGAGAATCTAACCATAAAAGTAGCCAATGAAACGCGGCCTTGTGAAGTGCCTCTTGCCCATGGTTTTAGATTTTTGTGGCAGCTGGTTTATGAAAACCATGAATCGGCAGACAAGAATCAGATGTCGAGCCTGTTTTTCTTCTGTGGTGTCAGACTTTGCAGGATATCAAACAGTTAAATGGGAGAACTAGGATGTGGGATTAAATTGCATAGCTCTTTCAAAGAGGTAGCAAAGGCGTGCTGGGTTGAATGGCCTTACGCATTGGAAGATGTCATGATTATGGAGATTGTTAGCCTGGGCATTGGAAGACTGGGACTGAGTGGATTGGTCCATGGAAAGCTATTGTCATTTCAAAGGCTCACCCCCCGTCCCATGCTGACGCAATGGCCCCTTCATTTCCGAGTATCTTATCATCAGATCCACACAGATAAGGAGGCACTTTAGTCAAAAAAAATCATCCTTTTCTGATGAAGCACTCCTTTAGGCCTATGATATTCTAGTTTGTAGTCAAATGGAGCTTGAATCAACCAGTTCAGATTCACAGGCCAGAGCACCCCAAACAGCTGCGTACTCATGGGGTATTGGAATATCATTGCTCCAGTCTCCCTTGTCATTTTTAAAGCTGTTACTGCATTCAGGAATATAGCCTACAGCCTGAATCACAACAGTGCACTGCTGGATGGGGTTTTGACGAGCTGTGGTAGTGGACTGTAAAACTTGTGTTTAACATTTTTTTTTGGATTAGGCATTAAACAGACAGTGCATTTCCAAATTCGAGTAAATCTGAAAGACTTCATTGTACTATTCAACCAAGATCAGGAAGATCTTTAGTGACCTGGCCATATGGCTGTCAACCATTTACCACAAACAGCAGATTACGCAGATCATTCATCCCTGGCCTGTGTAGAACCTTGGGCGCTCTTCTCTGAAATACAAACTTAATTCCAGTTTCAGACTGGGAGATAAACTGTGGATTTTTCCGTTTGAAAATTGAATTTCATGAGCCTGGAATTTTCTTGAAGCCCTTTTACGAGCCCTCTTCTAGGTTGACTTTGTGAGAATAAAGTTTTTTTTTCCCGTGGCTAGTAGTTGGCAGAGGCTATCACTGAACAGTGACTTCCTCAAATGGGAGTCATTATTTCTTTGTCTCTGTCTCTGGTGGGACCAGTTGTCTGCTCATCAAGCTGCTTCTGTATTATCTAGCTAATCTACATTTTTTATTTTTTTGTAACAATGTATAACCTTTTCATTTAGACTTGTGTTAAAAAAGAGGAACGTGGCTTAAGTTTAATTTTTGAATCGTTCTCAGTGCTGAGAAATCTTAAGGTTTGTTTGTTTATGTGTATTTGTTTTAATGAGGTTTTACAGCCCTTTAAAGTGAAGAAATGGAGATAACATTAAAAAAAAGACGTAGAGAAAAAAATCTGCTGTTGCCAAGTAACAAGGTTCCGGGATGATGGACAAAATAATCCAGTCCTTGTGTGGTGTGCCAAAGAGTGGAATCCAAAGTATTAAACTCTTGACTAAGATACCTCATATTACTGCTAGAAGCAGAGTTTAGGGAACAATGTGTGTT